TTTTAAATAAGGCGTATGAAATACTTTCCAAGCAAGAAGATGAGTATGATGCATATTGTCACGAAAGTGATTTTTCTAAATTAATAATCTATCAATTATTAGGTATAATGATTCATGCAAAACCTTAGCTATTATCTTCACTACAATTTGCAATCAATATGTTAGGAAACAGTCACGGATATGACAACCCCCATAGGGATTTCTGAACGTTCGACGCATTTGAACAGTATATCTAATTAATTGCTGCTCGCATACATCAATCCAGCCTACGTATCTATACCCTATGTGTCTACACAGGTTCACTGCCTCATGGGTCAGTCGTTCTACTTCCTCACGTAGCTGTCTAATCTTCTCAGGTCTCAGTCCAAAAACGGGCATCTCTATTTCGCGTATGGTACCGGGGAACACAATCCGCCGCAATTAGGTCAGAAATCTCACGCCCCTGTTCAATGGAAATTCTTACATCCAGGACTTTAATTAACCGCAGCCTTTGTATGGGTTGTGAGAAATCGGAACTAACGCAATGCAGCTAACCAATGTTTCCTGATTCGTAGGCTCAGAAATCCCTATGGGGGTTGTCATATCCGTGACTGTTTCCTAATATATTGATTGCAAATTGTAGTTAAGATAATAGCTAAGGTTTTGCATGAATCATTATACCTAATAATTGATAGATTATTAATTTAGAAAAATCACTTTCGTGACATGGTGCCTCCGCCCACAGAAATTCCTGACCTCAGGAATTGACTTGTATTTACTGAGGTAAAATACTCCAATCGTTACTGCTAACTTAAAAGGTGAAAAATAGGTGAAGTTTCCGAGATGTTCCAGAGACAGTTTCCAGTCTATTTTATCCATCTGGTATTACTTAAACTATATACAAAAAAACCATACTATACAGTCATGTTTACAGTAAGGAAATGAACATAATGTTATAACCCAAAAAGTGTCTTAACCGCAGTTTTTTTTAATATCAGCCTGTAAGATATGCAAGTATCCGGGTCTACCGAAAAACACTTTTTTATAGTTCATGGTGTGATTAAACGTACTCGCATTAGGCTATTGGTGGTAAGTATTTGCACTAATAGTTTTAAAGTTACTCACAATTGGTCTCAAGGTGTCTTTATCACTATATTGTTTTTCACTTATTCACATCACTTGGTCCATCGATATATAATGTGTATCTTCCGACGTTGGAGATCGGCGACTTCCCTCAGGGTGTGGCACGTACATAATAGGTGGTGTTGATGGACTCTTCCTGGGCTTTTGACCCTTCCATGGAGATAGTTGAAATGGTGTAGCAGCTTCTGTATGCGTTACTGATGTTTTTCTTTCAGTTGGCTGCAGATAATTCTCTTCGGTTTCCCATTTCAATTTCGTTGGTCTCGGTGGTAGTTTACGTTCTTCCTGTTGAGCTCGTGCTTGTTCCTCAACCATCATGGGTAATATGGACACTGTTTGTTTGGTGCTGAGGGCGATTCTTCGGACGAATGATTTCCTCATCCTTAATTGACGGTAAGTGGTTATTGAGGTGGATGCAACCAATAATAAGAAATTTAGAATAACGAAATACGTAAGTGTTGGCGTAGTAGTGGTTGGCGATTGTCCAACAATCCATTGTTCGTTTAAACAATCCTCCAAGACATCGAAGTGTAGACTAGGCTTGTTCCACTTTGGTAAAGCTAGTCCTTTAAAAGTAATCCATTCGGCTGGAATAATTTGTTTTGTTGAAAATTCTACCTTTTTATCTACACACGGATAATGTGCGTAGATGGTTTCTTCTTCGTCTTCGAAATGACAATGGCATGGAATTGTCACTAATAATGCTCCAATATGACGATAAACTTGTAAGTCATAGGATGTATCTGGACTTCAATTAGTAGTACGTAATAATATCAAACTATTCGCGAACACGACGATAGGGAAATTGAGATATCAACCTCGGCAAAAGAGTACTAAAATTTTAGCGATAAATAAAACAGCAACGAACAAGATTACGCACAATATCTCACCTACGTTAAACATGAATCAGAAGAAACAGTTGTCTAAACTTTTGGAAGATTTTAATGACATTTTCGCGGAATCAGCCACATCAATGGGATTCACAGATATAGGCCAGGGAAATAAGGTTTCAACCTCTGATTTTTTGGATATAAGCCATAAAGTTCAGTAAACCTTCATTTTGGTGTTCTAAGAGCTGTGTGAAAGTTATCGGGGTCAGACCCTTCGGCGTCGTAAGTTATTCGGGGTCAAAGGTCACGAAAATCAGTTTTTCGCGATTATCTCGGTTTTTATAGCTCCAATCGCATTTCCGTAAGAGGAGAAAGTTGTAGATAATTAAATTTGCCATCACTTTTGTATTTAACATTTTTTCGTAGGAGTTACCGTTCTTGAGATAGAGGGCGCAGAGCGCGCATACATGCTATAATTAAGGTCAAACTGTGAATCTGCTTGAATAATACATTGCATAAAGCTATTAAATCATTAAAACATCATTAACAATTAATAATTTTTAATAATAACTATTATTGTTATTAAATTATTACTATTATTAATTATTATTGTTATTAAATGTTTATTGTTATTATTATTTTAGATAGCTAGGTATATCGGGTGTATATTTTGACCATACACCTTAAATTTTAATTAAAATCAAACCCTACAGTGTTTTGTGGCACTGGTACGCCCCTGCACCGTTCATTTTTGGTAACGTCCGCAAGTTGTCGACAGCTGCAAGCTTGGCCTTGGGACCCTCGGCAGCTTTAGTATCTACCTGGGTGGGTTTAGTACGCTTTAGATATCGATAAACGACGGACGTCAAACGTAGTATTTCGAAAATAATGGAGGATTTGTGTTTCATTTGTGAGAAGTCCCTTTCAGAAGGTGATTGTTATACTGTGGTGCGTGGCTTGAAAACTTTAAGAAGTGCAAGTGTCGAAAGAAATGACGGTCACATAGACTTTTTAAATACTGTGGCTTCTGTTAAAGTTCATGCCAAGTGTCGAAGAATTTATATCGGTCAAAATTCTATACTAGCAGCGAAACGACGCGCAGAAGAAGATGAAGATTTGCCATCAACATCAACCGGTGCACGTAAACGTAGGATTGACACTTTTGATTTCAAAAAATTGTGTCTATTTTGTGGCCAAATAGCTGATGGGGCAGCCGAGAAAAAAAAAGCAAAACAATACCGGCGCACGATTAGCAACGTAAGAACCTTGGAATTTAAAGAAGCACTCATCCAAAGAGCAGAAGAGCGGAAGGATTCCATGGGAGAAATAGTGAAACATCGGGTACTATGTGAGTATGATTTGGTCGCAGCTGAAGCAAAGTACCATGCCCATTGCCATAATTTATTTTTCAAACAAGCACCAGAGAGTAAACCTGCTCGCGATAATCTGCTCACTCAAGCAATGGAGAAAATTTTTTGCTATATAGAAAATCATGAGGATTCGCAATTCACCCTAAAAGAGCTCAAAGATGTCCTTACGGAGTATGTACCAGATGACAAGACCATTCTAGCAAAACTACAGCAAAAATATATGACTAACATAATAATTACCCCAAAAATAGGATCATTTACAATAATATGTTTTCGTGACACACACCTTTTGCTAACAAAAACTTGGTACCAAGATAAAAAAAATAATGCGGAAGAAGAAAGATTGAGGATTGTCGAAGCTGCAGCAGCCATTGTTAGGGAAGATATCCGAGCAGCGATAGTCGAAACCAATTCGTATCCTCCTCCAAGTCGAATGTTGGATGATATTAACCAAGAAATACCAAAAACATTATTACATTTTTTGAACGAAGTCATATTAAAA